AAGCACAAGCGCAAGCATGTGGACAAGCAGGTGGGCGAGGTGTACGCGGGCATCGGCTTCTCCCACCTCAGCAGCCTCATCCAGCACAACGCGCCGCACACCAGCTCGCTGCCATATTACCGCTAGCTCTCCGCGTGCATCTTACCTGAACAGGAGGGGCAGGTGCATGCGAGCTCACGGATTCTGGCTTATGGACGCCTCTTTGGCAGCCGACGTCGCCGCTGGACGCTCGTGGGGTCCACGCTGTGCGCGCTTCGTTCCGAACGGGCGTCGGGGGGGATGTGCTGGGCGTGCGGAAGCTACCTGCTGCGTGTGGGCGTCGGGGATTGCCAACGTCAGGTTGTGTTTTGGACTCGCGCGGTGATGGGTATTGACGTTGGGACCTGTGCTCGCGTGCCCTGGTCGCCCAGGCTTCCCCTCACCGAGCACCCAGCCCGGAGACCACCCTGGCTCCAGGATCCCCGAACAGGTGATCGGGACCGATGAGGGGCAGCTCTTAATCCGAGACGTTCACGCCAAGACCTTACCAAAGTGAACCCAATGCTGCTGTATATACCACACCCCATTACTTACGTAGCCGATAAAAAAGTACTGTCTATAACGTACATATATATTTACGCCTTCCGATGGAGGTCTAGTGTGTTTTATAGTTAAGCATAAGTTGCTGTAGCTGCAAGGTGTTGAGTGTGCTGTGAGCTCGTGGCTGTGTGTGGGCCAGTGAGAGATGTGTATTACATGTAAAGATAATACACAAAATGGGCGAGGGGGATGATTACAACCGTAAAGAAATTGAGGAAATGGTGTTGGAACCCAGCCGGTGTCATTTTGCATTGTAACCGACTTCACGGACTGGTGTTGGACCTCTTTAACCACTTCTAGTGGCTGGCACTTGTATTGTTTTGGCACCATCGTTGCGGGTTTGGCGAGTGTCCTGCGAGTGATGATTTTTCCCAAGGTGCGGCACATGGAGGGACGCCTGCGTCGCGTGTCGCTGCTCGAGACACAGAAATGACCTCGGATGTCTCTTCGAGGTGCGACGGAGCCTGGCTCTCCGGAGCCTTATTCCTACAGCAGGCCTGCGACTCCCTCTCGATCCAGCCACTTCGCATTTACTAAAAGCGCTTCCAGAATGCAACGTGAAGCACTTTGTTGATGTCACTCAGGCTCTCATGCACAGACTGCCTGAGCTGGTGAGTGTGGAGAGCCGGACGGCCTGGCTTCCTGTTCGGAGTCGACCGTGCAGAAACTCTTGGTCAGCTTTGTGGGGACGAGTGGTCCGTGTGTAGAGCAGCCAGGCGTGTATTCACGTACATTGTCACTCCCGACGCTTGCCTGTTTCCCTTCAAACACTGCTGCTGCTTTCCCCGTGGGTGCCTGGGGTGCGTGTACCCTGCGATGGTGGCATGGCAGCGTTTTTTGGCGAATCAAGAATGGCTGCCGTTGAGTTCCTATCCCTCAAAGCGTTCCAGACACATCAATCAGTGTTAGTGATGAGCTCCTGTAAAACTGCGTTGTTTCATGTTCTCGGGTTTTCAGCACCGTGCATAAGTGGGAAAGACAGCTGCGGGTCACAGCAGTTATCCTGGGTGCATTCCCTCTCCCAGCGCGATGGAATTGCAGCTGCGGTGACGCATGAGTATCTGTGGACCCTCGCCAGACAAACGCTCACCTTGAGCTGAACTCTGGGAAGAAACCCTATTTCTGTAGGGTGCAGTCGAGGCAGGTTCATTGTGCCTCCTGTCTGATTTCTGAGAGCCGTTATGCCGCGACTGTGGTCACTCCAGTTGTGGAGCACTCGCTGCGCTGGAGGGGCGGACAGGCTCTCGTGAGAGGCAGATGCTCCTACCGATACTGGATTGCAGTATAAGCAAGTTGTGCCGCCAACTATGCTCACACCGAGGCATTGGTCTTCATCACACATGAAGACCAATGCACGTAAGAAAGTTCAGCCATTGGCCACTATCATTGTGCCACCCTGCAGGCCATGATGATTATTTCAGTGAGTAATATGGTTCACAGCAGAAGAATGGAATGTGCATGCCCAGATGGGAGCCCCCCACAATGGGCCAAGTGGAGAGCCGGAGTAAGGCTTGCAAGACCTCGAGGGAGGGGATTGTGGTTCTGCCCTCGGCTCTGCACAAGAGTGGGCACAGCTGAGCGTATGACTTGACGGCACTGCCCACTAGCTGCACCACACGCTGCATCAGATATGCTGAGCTGGGAGTGAAGAGCCCCACTGGAGTAGAATAATATTCAGTATTCAATTGTTTTTTTAAATTCCACCAACTGTTCGTCACTTCAGCTTAACCACATTACCTCGTATGGGTATAGCACCCCCCTTGGGTCGTTATTTATAAACCCCATACGGGCACCTTCATTTTTTTGTTAATAGATTTTAGGAATGCATACTGGTTGCATGAACCTTTCTAACCTTAATTTGAATTTCATCTCTTGCGTTGCAACTTTTAAGCACGAGGCTGCCACCACCGCGTGTAAGGGCACTGCAGCTGGTGCTGCGCCACCACCATTGGGGGTTTTATGTGAGGATGGAGGGCGGCCTGCACACCATGGCGCGTTCCCCTCCAGCGCCCTGTGCGTGCGTTGAGGGAGCACCTGATGGGAGGCTGAATTCCATCACTATAGAGGCTAATCCAGTGCAAGTTCTGTGACATCAGCTTATAATGATGTTTGCACAGACAACAGTATAATTTTGTTTTATGTAGCTTATTAAAGGTGTATTATGATGTATTATACAATTTGGTTTTTCAGTATAATGCGAAGAGACAGATATTAAGATGCGGTGACATGTATGGTTTTGAGTAACGACTGTGCCCGGGCACCTCTCGACACGACGTGAGTTGTACCAGGCTTGCTCTGCTGTGCATGATGGTGCTGTTTGGTGTCTGTGATGTGTCCAGATGCCGGCAGCACAGTTTGGTTTCTTGCGATATTAAATTACAAAAGGAGAGAGGCGTCTCGCTGGATGTGTGGTGATCACAATAACTAATGTAGGGCTTTTTAAATTAGGTAAACGGATGTCAAGTCAGCAGGACATGTCACCCTGACATGTACTGGGACCATGAGCTGGAATTCACCAGGCTGTCTGCCCACCGGATCGTATCGCTGCTTACACTTTGGCACCTCCAGAACGCAGAGCCTGCACACTGCTGCTCGCCCCTGCACAATGGGGTGCACGCATGCCTCGCAATTCAAGTCAATTATAAAAACAAACTGATGAGGGTGTTTTAGTGAGTGAGTAAAGATGCTTCTATTTATCCAGTGTCGGTGCTATGTAAGTAAAACATGTTGTAGGTTTTCGTTTGATGCCTTACGATTTTAAACAAATATATGGTGGCATCGTTCCACACGAGAAGAGCAGCAGACTTGTGTCTTCTGATGTAAATTCAAAGCTACTGCATGGAAACATGAATTGTGGCAATATTGCAAAATGAAATTGCCGCGATAACATTGAGGTTTTGGTCGGCAGCCATGTCGCATTTAAGCACCTGCCATTGTACATTTAAGTGTGGGAACAATTCTTTGGGTATCCCCATGGCTGTATTCTTTGGTTCTTTCGGTAAAGTCACGCAGATAGAAAAATAATAAAGTGAATACAAAAAACCACGACGACGTTTCGATCGCAACACAAGCGGTCGACCGCTTGTGTTGCGATCGAAACGTAGTTTTTTGTTTTCTTTGAACCTATCTACGTGTCTACCGAAAGCACCAACGAATATGAATTCCTGCAGTCACGAAAGTTAAGTCTAAATGTATCCCCATGGCTAGTTTAACATTTTCAAAGGTGTCTCCACTGGTTACCAAAAGTGTTTAGAGAAGGCTGTAAAGCGAAGAGTATTTGTGTTTGCCATGAATGATCAGATTCCGACATCATTCCCACGAAGGCAACGCATTTGTTATCAAATTGATGACATTTCAGTTTCGCCATGGGTCATAGTTGCGTGATGGATGGAGCACTTCATGTAAATGTTTAGGATGCTGCGACTCCACATCAGATCTACGTTATTACATGTTTGGGGCATGCAGCAGGTTCAGGTGCCAGCAAACTTGAGTCTCCAGTTATTAAGTTGCGACTTGGGGCTGAAATGCGTTGTGAGCGCCGTGGGTTGAGGGATGGAGTTGGAGTGGAGCCCCTTGGCAATGAACACGCGGGGGGGACCCTGAGGGTGGCCACAGGGATTCGTGCCTCAGCACGAAGCACATGGGTCTGCGCGTTTCCTCCCTTGTTCTCACATAAACAACAACAACCAGTCATTGGTCTTCGCCAAATGTTTAATGTAGCCGAGACCCTCTCGGGGAACCCGTGGAGAGACCCGCCGAGGCTTTCCTGGTAAGTCAACAGCCGTGCTTTGGATCATTCGGGACGCAGCCCTAATAAGCTAGCCCCTCGTGATTTATGAAATAAGCTTTCAAACACCGTCGTAAAGACGCACTTGTACAGGTCGATTACAATAAGCTGGCCACGGGCATGAAGCTCAATAGCTGTAGACGCGGGTGCAAGTCGCGCCGGGAGCACGAGAATGGAAGTTTAACGCGGGACGAGCGGGATATCGGTGCTCCTTCTGAACATTGAATATCCATTGGGATTTAAAACAAACGCCGACCATTAACAAAGGACGAGCATTGCCACCGAAGCCGTTCAGAACACCAACAACAACAAGGCACCTCACGGAACTAACCCTCTGTACGCCGACACGTCCATCGGTGCTCGAGGCACTCCGAAGTTTGCTTTCCCTCTGCCGTGTTTTTGTTTGAGGAACCTTCGGTGGCCTTCAGGGGGTCCCATTCGTGCGGTGAATGCCGCGACTTGAGACGTGCACGGACGCGAACAGCCTCTCGTCGGCGACCACCGCGACCAGCTGCGCGCCGCTGAACTTAACAAGATGGCGGGAGCGGAGACTTCCGCGCGCTGGGCCCCGGGTTGGTGACGTCACGCGTCGGCGATGACGTCACGCGTAGATGACGTCACACCCGCGCTGTCGCCGGTTCGGGCGGGGAGGCGGCGATGACGTCATCGCGCGATAGCGCGGGCAGGAAGCGGAGCGCTGACAGCGCGGACACCCCGAGGAGCAGCAGGAGCAGCAGCAGGAGCAGCAGCAGGAGGAGCAGCAGGAGGAGCAGCAGCAGGAGCAGGAGGAGGAGCAGGAGGAGGAGCAGCAGGAGGAGCAGGAGGAGGAGCAGCAGCAGGAGGAGCAGCGGGGAGAGATGCTGCCCGTTACCGTGAACATCAAGCTGCCCGCGCGCTCGCTGCCCGGGGCGCTGCACGCCAACAACCGCCTCGCCGCGGACTGGTGAGTGAGTGGGTGGGCGAGTGGGTGAGTGAGTGAGTGGGCGAGTGGGTGAGTGAGTGAGTGGGCGAGTGAGCGGGCGAGCGAGCGGGTGAGTGTGTGGGTGAGTGAGTGAGTGGGTGAGCGGGCGAGCGGGCGAGCGGGCGAGCGGGCGAGCGAGTGAGCGGGCGAGCGAGTGTGCGGGCGAGCGAGTGAGTGGGTGAGCGAGTGAGCGAGTGAGTGAGCGAGTGAGTGAGCGGGTGAGCGAGTGAGTGAGCGGGTGAGCGAGTGAGCGAGTGAGCGGGTGAGTGAGTGGGTCAGTGAGCGGGTGAGTGTGTGTGCGGGTGAGTGAGCGGGTGAGCGGGTGAGCGTGTGGGTGAGTGGGCGAGCGGGTGAGCGAGTGAGCGGGTGAGTGTGCGGGTGAGTGAGCGGGTGAGTGAGTGAGTGAGCGGGTGAGTGAGTGAGTGAGCGGGTGAGTGAGTGAGCGGGTGAGTGAGTGAGTGAGCGGGTGAGCGGGTGAGCGAGCGAGTGGGTGAGTGAGTGAGTGAGCGAGTGAGCGGGTGAGCGAGTGAGTGAGCGAGTGAGCGGGTGAGTGTGTGTGGGTGAGTGAGTGAGCGGGTGAGTGAGTGGGTGAGTGGGTGAGCGGGTGAGCGGGTGAGCGAGCGAGTGGGTGAGCGAGTGAGCGGGTGAGTGAGTGAGCGAGCGAGTGGGTGAGCGAGTGAGCGGGTGAGTGAGTGAGTGTGTGAGTGAGTGGGCGAGTGAGTGGGCGAGTGAGCGGGTGAGCGAGTGAGTGGGCGGGCGAGCGAGTGAGCGAGTGAGTGGGTGGGCGAGCGAGTGAGCGAGTGAGTGGGTGAGCGGGTGAGCGAGTGAGTGGGTGAGTGAGTGAGTGTGTGACTGAGTGTGTGGGTGAGTGAGTGAGCGAGTGAGTGAGTGGGTGAGTGAGTGAGTGAGCGAGTGAGTGAGCGGGTGAGTGAGCGGGTGAGTGAGCGGGTGAGTGAGTGAGCGGGTGAGTGTGTGTGTGGGTGAGTGAGTGAGTGAGCGGGTGAGTGTGTGTGTGGGTGAGTGAGTGAGTGAGTGAGCGGGTGAGTGTGTGTGTGAGTGAGTGAGCGGGTGAGTGAGCGGGTGAGTGTGTGTGTGGGTGAGTGAGTGAGTGGGTGAGTGGGTGAGCGAGTGTGTGTGTGGGTGAGTGTGTGGGTGAGTGAGTGAGCGGGTGAGTGAGCGGGTGAGTGTGTGTGTGGGTGAGTGAGTGAGTGGGTGAGTGGGTGAGTGTGTGGGTGAGTGAGTGAGTGGGTGAGTGAGTGAGTGTGGCGAGGCGGGCGGCCTTCGTTCTCCTGCACGGAGCGGCGCCGTCGACGTCGTCGCTTCTTTTTCGCTTTAACTCGTGACGTCACGCCGCCTTGGCGACGTCACAATCGTTTGCGCCACGCGGTGACACGTCGAACAATATCGAACGAGTTTGGTGACACTGCGTGGGGTAGTGATGCACAAGCTCCTAGGTCGACTGAGCCTCAAATGAGTAGCTGGTGCGGTGTGTACACATCGTCACTGGGGGAGACCGGGCGTGGTGTTGGCCGCCCACCCCCTCGTGTGCCGTACCCATCTTCACAGGTGCTCGCAACAGCACGTGCCTCAAAATCATAGCGGGGGATTTTTGTCTTTGCACAAGCTCCAGTTTGACAGCAGAGGTCCCACTCCCAATCAGTCTGACGGCATCTTTTCTTCGTCTATGTAACGAACGCTGCTGTGTGGACGCTACCTGGTCTGTCGCTCCACGCGAAGCTTCGGGTCTTCTCACCCTCAGTTATGCTCTCTCCTTTTCTATGCTTGCTAAACGTGGACCCCTGTAAGCGAACATCTGCGCCAGTTAGAAACATTCAGGAATGCCTTCCTACGCTCCACCCAGGGTTTAACCAGGCTGGATTGGAAGATCTGGACACAGTCCCACCAATGAGATATTCTTTCAGTTAAGGCTGCGTCGGATAGAGGGAGCTCAACGGGCACGCACGGGCTAGAAAAGAAATGGGCTGATGTGGAGCTGAGTGGCCTTGCCAATGACTGCTACCGACGGTGTCAAGATCAGCCTCTGGAGGAGGCTCGTGAAGGACGCTACTGGGAAGTTGGAGGCGCTCGCCCTCCAACTGCAACGGAGGGCAGAGGAGCGACGCTCACAACAACGAGCGGAGCGCCGTGCGGCAAGTTGGCACAGTCGGGGGCACAGGTGGTGCATCTGCCAGTCATCTCAGTCAGTCGACCCGTGGAAAAATGGGTCTGTCGCATGACCTGCCAGCGAGCTTTCGACACTTCACGTGGCCTGTGGTGACGTCACCGCCACTTCCTGGAGAATGGCGGTTGTTGCACAATCTCAAATAATACAAACACATGTTCGTCAATAGTGCTTTCATTAACCTAATTGACCCGGTTACACTATGAAGAGGTTTCATTTCCCGAAACGTCACCTATTATATATTTTACATTCAGCATGAAGGGGGGGGGGGGGGGGAGGGCACGTGGAGTGGGGGTAAGGATGAGGGGGGGGGGGGGGGGTTGGGGGGGATAAAGCAAGCAGCTCCCCATCATATTACAAGGTGGTGCAATCATAAACACATCTCAGCTTTTGCCCGGGCTGACCAGCAAGAGTTTAAAGCTTCATTATTGAGAAATAATTATAGCCGGTCTATAACAGTGACGTCACGAGCACACTACTGAAAGACATCTGAGTCATAAAGTGTCAAGCTCGTGTCGAAGAGTGCACACCACGGGTGAGGTGAAGGTCTCCGTTGGGAGTTGGGGTGATTATTAATACCCCATGGACACGTGGGAGCGGGGAGGTAAGAGTAAGCACGCAGACGGAGCTCCACGTTGATGCAAATGTCTCATGAATGGCCATGAAGTCGGGGGGGGGGCTCTTTCCTCTGCCCTGCGGTGCGACACACGTCACCATCTGCCACTGCAGCCCGGGCAAGTCATGCTCAGTGTTGGCCACTTAAGACACCTCCAGTGGCCATCGGCGAAATGTGGAGAAATCCTGGCTGCCTTCACTGAGTCCAGTGATAGGACAAACTGGTTAGCAATGAAATAACATGACAATAATGACAGTAATGACAGTGTTGATGTTCGTGTTAATTTGAGTGATGTTGATGATGGCGGCGCTCATGAGGATAGGATAGGGATTTCCATGAATTGATCGCTTTAATGCCACGGCATCTCAAAGCGAATTACATATACACAGGAAATCCACAACAACACATCAGGGCCACAATTGGGAAAAGTCAGTGGGGAAGAAAAAGAGAAGAGACATCAAGGATCAATAGCAGAGGGGCACGACTGACGCAGGGACACACAGCAACCCGCGCATGCACAGGAGGGCAACAGACGGCCACCTCGGGGGACAAACGACGGCCAGATCGGGTCAACCATTCCAACACTTACCACCACCACGCACTGCCATTATCTCAACACCCCACTCAACCAACCACATCAAAGTCAACTACCAACACCAACTAAAATGCATGCAACCACCAGCACGCACTGACACCATCTCGACACCCCATTCAACTGACAAGCACCACCATCCATAGCCCACCAACTAAATCACTACACCAACCAAACGGTTCCTAAAGCAGCAGTGCTGTGGTGACTAGGCCCTTCACTGCTTCACTGTGCCGTGGCAGGGCCCCAGTGTGTAGTATCGGCAAGGCCCCGAGAGGGAGCCGAGGGCACCTGGTCAGGAAAAGGCTGGGAGGTGAGCAAGCGGAGTAGCTAATGCAGGGACTAAATATAGACAAGAGTTACACAATAAACAACAATAAATCAACAAGAAATAAAACAAAATGCATTCAATGTGCATTTGTTCTCGGAAGTATTTAGCGATAATAACGGTAGTTCTCACGCCGGGCACACTTGAAGCAGTCCATCCCTAGGTTGTACAGGATCGAGATGAGGGTGTGTGTGTTGATCTTTCCCCCTCTGAGTTCCTGATGTGCGGCCACTCGCCGGAGCGGACGCAGATTCCGGCCCCAGTGGAGCGTGACCTGAGTGGTGCTCGTTGGCGTGTGTAGGGGATGGCAGGGCTTGCTGGCATATGGATGCCATTCGCTGGTCATGGTGGTGGATCCTCGCACGGCCCAGACAATCCAGGCTCTGGACAAACACAAGGCAACAGTCGTCAAGGTAACTCCTACCACGGAGCTCACACTCGCAGAAACAAACCCAGCCCCAATCCGAACCCACAGCCTGCCCCCGTCGCCCCGAGTGGTGCTGTGCGTGGATGGCACTGTGGACGCGTGGCGGGTGCTGTGTGTGTGTGCACTGTGTACGTGTGACACTGTGTACGTGTGGCGGGTGCTGTGTGTGTGGCACTGTGTACGTGTGACACTGTGTACGTGTGGCGCTGCGAACGTGTAGTGCAGTGTACATGGGTCGCTGTGTACGTGTGGCGCTGTGAGTGGCTGGCGCTGTGCCCACTGCAGGTGAAATGGGCTCGGGAGAACTACCACCACGATGCGTGCGCCCCCTACTCCGCCCGCTTGGCCTCGGGGGACGCTAGCGGCAAAATCGTGGTGTGGGACGTGGCCGCGGGCGGAGCGCGCTGCGAGATCCAGGAGTACACGAAGCCTGTGCAGGGTATGCATACGCAGACAGATATCTCCCATATATCTTTGAATAGACTGTTGGGGTAAGTGCTGTTCGCGAGCACCTATGAAAGCACCAAGTACTAGGAGAGGCCCGGGACCAGTTTAAATAATCGTCACTGGTTTTGACCGTGAGCGAGAATCGAACTCGGGTCACCGGGTTCGTAGCGCAGTGGGCTAATATCTGCACTGCCACACATACAGGCACGCACGCACGCGCACACGGAGAGATCTTCTATTTACCTTTGTAAACTCAGGGGAAAGTGCTGTGAGCAAGCACCTGTAAAGAATGGTGAGGCGAACATGAGAACGATGTGGTGCACACCACACCTGGCCGGCTCTGCCGTTCCTATGCTTGCGTGCTAATGCCACACCAAGTCCTCGGTTTAGGCTGGGTAGGCCAAGGCTAAACCAACGCGGACATCGTTTGACATTAGATGCCACCTGCCACTGCTTCCAGTCAAATCTGAGTAGCTGGAATTGCACTGCACCAAACACAAGCTCACCTCTCCACCGCTCTGCACTACACACACGCGCTTGCGTCTTGTAGAGAGTGATGTGGTGTTGATTCATGGACCACCATACAGTTCCAGTGGCATGGATTCCATTCCTGACCATGCACATCTGTGGTATCTGAACCTATCCTGAGCATGACTTGGTTGACTCGGCATTAAATGAGTATGCATGTATGTTGAACTTCTTTCGCACTGTTCGTCGCCAACCGTGCTAATCAGAGGTGCGGGGGAAGCACAACAAACTATACACAAAAAGCAGTTCTAAAGAAATTAGTAACTAGTGTGGCGTGCGACCGCTTTCTTTGGGAAGATAATGGTGGCTGGACATTGTTCTGGCTATACCGCTGGGCTGCCCATCTTTTAAAAGATGCTCACCAAACAACATTTTCCTCTTCAGCAGTGGTTCCCAACCTTCCTGCTGTACCCGCAGACCTTCTGTCAACTTTGAAAAAATATTCGTGGACCTCCACCATGCACCGATAACATAACTCCCGTCGTTTTGAGAAAAACATCAAAGTGTCTACAGCAGTTTCGTAGAAAACTTCTCACGGCCAGTGGTCCACGGACCGTGGGCTGAGAACTGTCGCTGTACGGCCTGCGAGGCCGAACAGGAATCGCCTTGTCGTTTGTGACTCTCACACGGTCGGGTGGCGGTGCCGCGGGGCCCTCCCTGCAGACATGGAGTGGCTGTGGAGCCAGGACGCCAGCCTGGACCTGCTTCTCGCCGTGCATCCCCCGAACTTGCTGGTGCTGTGGAACGCAGACACGGGCACCAAGCTGTGGAAGAAGAGCTACGCGGAGAACATCATCTCCTTCTCCTGCGACCCCTTTGATCCCTCCAGCCTCGCCCGTCCGTGCCACCTGCTGCTCCCACATGCATTCCCGTTCTCAGATACCCACTTTATCAGTAGCTCACCCAGCTCTCAGAAACTCACCAAGCTCTCAGAAACTCACCAAGCTCTCAGAAACTCACCCAGCTCTCAGAAATTCACCTACACTCTCAAAAACCCAACCACTATTATGAACTCACCCATTCTTTTACAAAACTGACTCTCAGAAACTGATACATTCTCTCAGCAGCTGTGTGTGTGTTTGCAGTTTTAACGAGTGAGGGCACGGTGTGTGTGTGTGTGTGCAGTGTTCACGAGCGAGGGCACGGTGTGTGTGTAGTGTTGATGAGCGGTAGTGTAACAACACGCTGCGCTAAGAAGCTGGCGACCCGGGTTCGATTCCCGCTCACGGCCAACACCAGTGACGATTATCTGAACCGGTTCTGGGCCTCCACTAGGTCGACTCAGCCTCAAATGAGTACCTGGTGTTTTGTGTAAACATTGCCACTAGGGAGACGAAGGCGGCCGGGCTTGGTTTTGGCCACCCAACCCCTCGTGTGCTGTGCCAGCCTTCATATGTGCTCACTAACAGCACTTGCCCCAACAGTCTGTTAGAGGCTATACGGGGGATCTTTGTCTTTGACGAGCAAGGGCACGGTGTGTGTATGTGCGGTGTTGACGAGCGAGGGCACTGTGTGCGCAGTGTTGACGAGCGAGGGCACTGTGTGTGTGCGGTGTTGACGAGCGAGGGCACGGTGTGTGTATGTGCGGTGTTGACGAGCGAGGGCACGGTGTGTGTGTGTGCGGTGTTGACGAGCGAGGGCACGGTGTGTGTGTATGTGCGGTGTTGACGAGCGAGGGCACTGTGTGTGTGCAGTGCTGACGAGCGAGGGCACGGTGTGTGTGTGTGCGGTGTTGACGAGCGAGGGCACTGTGTGTGTGCGGTGTTGACGAGCGAGGGCACGGTGTGTGTGTGCGGTGTTGACGAGCGAGGGCACGGTGTGTGTGTGTGCGGTGTTGACGAGCGAGGGCACGGTGTGTGTATGTGCGGTGTTGACGAGCGAGGGCACTGTGTGTGTGCAGTGCTGACGAGCGAGGGCACTGTGTGTGTGCAGTGCTGACGAGCGAGGGCATGGTGTTCGTGCACGACTTCTCCCCATCGAGGCCGCCACCGAGCGCAGGCAGGAAGGTTTACATCTCCAGCCCCAGCTCAAGCACCGCCGGTGTTGCCGCGGCAGCGGGACGCGCTCCCACGGGCGCCCGGCGAGCGCTCAACCGTGTCAAGACGCTGATCACCGACGAGAAGCCGAGGTGTGAGCGGCCCCTAATATACAGGAGGTCGTGGGTTCGATCCCGACCCTGACGCCTGTATATTTGGAGTTTGCATGTTCTCTCTGCCCGTGTCATGTGGACTTTTCTCTGAGTCCTCCGGTTTTCCCCTCCACATTCAGAAACATGCATTCAGAGTATTTGGCTGCAATGCATGTTGACGTGATAAGCCACTTCGTTTGTGGCCAGGTCACTTTTGAAAAAGAGCTTTTTCGATCAATGGGCCTTACCTGGTAATTATTTTTTAGTTTTAATCATAATATAAAAAAATGTATTCTTCATTCCTATCGTGGATGAACCTAGACTCAAACCTCTCCTGTGTGAATTTAACACGCGAGTACTTTCGCAAACAATGTTGTTATTCGTAATAGATTTTTGGGTCAGATCGCGCACGTGAAATGCTTGCCGTAAACCCTCCTCCACCCGTCACAGCCAGTTAATAAAGTTGTGACGTCATCAAACGTCCCAACTCATTACTGCTTCGGCAGCACCACCGATGTGGTTGTTGGAGAGCGATCCACACACAACATTTAACAACCGGGTAGTCTAACGTTTTGCTGATAGTCACAACCAGCATTATCAGGCAGTTGCTCGAAAATTTGAAAATCTCCTCCAGTCTTGGCCTTAGGTGGTGTGATGTCACCAATGTGCACCCACAAGGTGGCTCACTTCCCAACCTCATCATGGGACTACCCCTCCTGGTTGATGGCGACACGACCGAGTGCGTGAGAGTTCTGCTCCATCACAGCTGGAAGTTGGCCATATTTCTGAGAATACCAACTCGCCAAGCTTCAGAACCCCGGTTCAATCACAGGCAGCAGCTTCTATTTTAACCCAGGATCTTAGCGAAGCCAGCTTCAGCGCTGCTACCTCCCGAGTCATCTGACCTCTTCTGAAGTCAATAATTACACACCTGGGCCTTTTAGGTATTCAGCTCTGCTTCTGCACCCTCGCTCTCAGATTGTCCCGACACTCCCTATGACTTGTGTCATACACAAGTATCCACCTGGGACGATAGCCGATCCTGTGTTAGCAGTGTATTTGATGAACATCAAGAAACGTGGAATTAAAAATGCAAATCGATTAAAAGAGGGAACTGATTACATATATGCATTTTTCAAACACGGCAAGTGAATTTAGTGGAGCAGAAAGAGAAATGCAGACGCACCGAAGATGAAAACCAGTGCCAGAGATCTGAACATCGGGCGGTGTGAGAGAGTGAACACAGCTGTATATAAGCTGCGCAGACATTAAGTGCGCAAGCCTTCCACTCTTCACTTGTACTCAAAAGTGCATCGTGGTGACATCACCACTACTCCGCGGGGAATGATGGTCGTTGTAGTGTGGACGTGCCCCATATGTGTGTGCAGTGTGGAGCGGTAGTGTAGCGGTTAGCACTACGCTGCGCTACGAACCCGGGTGACCCGGGTTCAAATCCCGCTCACGGCCAACACCAGTGACGATTATCTGAACTGGGCCTCCCCTAGGTTCACTCACCCTCAAATGAGTACCTGGTGCGGTGTGTAAACATCGCCACTGGGGAGACAAAGGCGGCCGGGCGTGGTGCCGGCCACCCACCCCCCTCGTGTGCCGCGCCGGCTTTATAGTGCGCGCTAACAGCACTTGCCCCAACTGTCTGATCAGGCTATTTGGGGGATCTTTGTCTTTGCAGTGTGGAGGGGGTGCTGCTCACAGAGTGCATCCAGATGTCGTACCTGCCCGCCCACCGCTCCCACATGCTGCTGCTGTACCCACGCGAGATCGTCATCCTCGACCTGGAGATCAGCCAGACAGTTGGCATCGTCGCCATCGAGCGCAGCGGCGTGCCCTTCCTGCAGGTGCCGTCTCGCGCGTGGGGGCCACTGCCGCCGTTTGTCGTTGACCTCGTTGACCTCATTGACCTCGTTGACCTCGTTGACCTCGCCCACCGCTGGCGGTGATATTGACGGTAGCGGTGGTCGTCCGACCGCCGCCGATGCCGGTCGCTGCGGTCGAGTTGGCATGAAGCGGGCGGCTCTAGTGCGGCTGTAAGAGCGAGCGGCTGTCGCCCTGTGGTGGGGGGCACCGTGAGCGCCGACCGTGGAGTGCAGCGCTGGGGTGGATGACGACGCTGATGATTCATGACAGCGGTGAATGATGATGATGAAAATAGATGAAGGTGATAGATCAAGAAGGAGGTTGATGAATTTTGATGCTATGGATGATGATGATGGATGAAGAAGGATAGATGTTCGTGTTGGGTGAATATATGGATGATCTAGAGATGTACATTACGAAGTTGCCAAGTATAGTCCACTGCTGCTTCTCTCATAGCTGAAAGGTTTCTGGTATTGTGCTGGGCCACTGCAAGGCGCCACACTGCTTCACTTCCACCTTTTCATCTCTTATGCAATATACAGGAAAGGGGAACCACGTGGTAACTTGTACATAATAGGATGACAACCACTTTTGTAGATAATAGGATGATACCACGGATGGCGAGATGTTAACTGCCTCGCCTGGTATATAGCAGGCCGTGGGTTTGATCCCGACCCTGATGATGCCTGCTGTATATTCAGAGTTTGCGTGTTCTCCCCGTGGTCATATGGATTTTTCTCCAGGTCCTCCGGTATTTCCCTCCACACTCAGAAACATGCGTTTAGAGTATTTGGCTGCAATACATTTCTACATGATAAGGCACTTTGTTGAGCGATAATTCGTGGCCAGGTCGCTTGTGAAAAAGAGCTGTACAGCTCAGTGGACCTTATCTGGTAAAATAAAAAAATAATGCAGTGTAGCCGCCACGGCATCCCGGTTGGCAGTGTTGGCGGTGTTGGTGGTGTCGCTTGTTACCCATGCCCCCTGCGGTGCGCGCGGTGCAGGTAATCCCGTGCCGCCAGCGCGATGCCCTCTTCTGTCTGCACGAGAACGGCTGCGCCACCCTGCGGGTGCGGCGCCCCAACCGCCCCAGCGTGCCCGTGCTGGCCCCCGCCGATGAGGCCGGTGCGTCTCTGCCGCCGCATCCAAAACCCCGCGCTCGCGCTCTCTCCCAGCGTGAGCCACACGCACGAGGGCACGGGTCGCGCGCGGAGTGGCGGCGCACCGAGGCTGCGTGTTTATTTCCCGCCTCTATACTCTTACGCTGGTGGTTCGTCGGGATCACCAGTCGAGTTTCCATTCATCTCCTAAATCGCGCCGTTTTGATATCTCAATCATCGTCGTCGTCGTCGTTGTTGTTGCGCTCGTTCACCCAGGAAAGCCTCGCCGAGTCTCAAGACTGTTGTTCAGGAGGATCCTGCCACATGTTTCAGAGTAGGGGGCGATGTCGCGACTCGGTGTGATCCACGTTGAGTAATGTGCAGGTATATTTTCAGCATTTGGGTGTTTAGCCGATACGAGTTGCACTGAAGTTTTCTTTTGGCTATGGTAGGATAACCAGTGAAGCCGGAGGAATTCCACGCAGAACAACAGCGGGAGAACGTACAAATTCCACACAGAAGAGATCGAACCCAGAACCCTTGCTGTGATGTGCAGGTGTTTCCACTGCGCCACCACCCTGCCACCCATTGCAGTATAGCGTTGCAGTGCAGTGTGATAGCAGCTGGGACATGCGCAATGAGTGAGATTGGCTAGTGGGGATGTGAGATTGGCTTGTGGCACCATGTATGTGTGTGTGTTTGGATGTTGTGTGTGTGTCACTGTATTGATGTCACTGTGTGTGTGTATTGTGTCGCTGTGTGTGTATTGTGTTGCTGTGTGTGTATGTTCTGTTACTGTGTGTGGGTGTTCTGTTTCTGTGTGGGTGTTGTGTTGCTGTGTGAGTGTGTGTGTTACGTCATTGTGTGTTGCATGTGGGGAGCGGTGGTGTAGCGGTTAGCGCGCTGCGCTTCAGACCCGAGTTAAATTCTCGCTCATGGCAAACACCGGTGGCAATTATCTGAACCGGTCATGGGCCTCCCCTAGGTCGACTCAGCCTCAAATGAGTACCTGGTGAGGTGTGTAAATATCGCCACTGGAGAGACAAAGACGGCCGGGCGTGGTGCTGGCCACCCATCCCCTCGTGTGCTGTGCTGGCCTTCATAGGTGCTCGCTAACGTCTCTGTGTGTGTATGGTGTACTGTGTGTGTCGCTGTGTGTGTTGCGTCACTGTGTGTGTGGTGTACTGTGTGTGTGTCGCTGCGCGTGTGCGCATCACTGTGTGTGTTGCATCGCTGTGTGTGTGTGTGTGTCGCTGTGTATGTGGTGTACTGTGTGTGTGTGTGTGTGCGCGTCACTGTGTGTGTTGCATCGCTGTGTGCGTGTGCGTCGCTGTGTGGGTGTGTGGTGTACTGTGCGCGTCGCTGTGTGTGTGTGTTGCGTCGCTGTGCATTGTCACTGTGTGCGTTGTATCACTGTGTGTGTTGTGTCACTGTGTGTGTTTCGTCACTATGTGTTTTGCATTGCTGTGTGCATAGAGGTGGACTGTGTGTCTGCGGACGTGGTGTACGAGCTGCGCTGTCAGTCGGACGCGGTGCGCGTCACCAAGACGGTGCGCCCCATGGCGCTGGGCTGCTGCCCCGTGGGGGAGAATGCGGCGGCCATGCTGGTGAGCGACGGACGCTTGCTCGTGTGGGAGCTGCACGCCACACGCGGGTACGTGGGGGCGAGGGTACGCTGGGTGATGGTACGTGGGGGCGAGGGTTCGCTGGGTGATGGTGCGTTGGGGCGAGGGTTCGCTGGGTGATGGTATGTGGGGGCGAGGGTACGCTCGGTGATGGTGCGTGGGGGCGAGGGCACGCTGGGTGATGGTACGTGGGGGCGAGGGTACGCTGCGTGATGGTGCGTGGGGGCGAGGGTTCGCTGGGTGATGGTATGTGGGGGCGAGGGTACGCTGGGTGATGGTGCGTGGGGGCGAGGGTACGCTGGGTGATGGTGCGTGGGGGCGAGGGTACGCTGGGTGATGGTGCGTGGGGGCGGGGGTTCGCTGGGTGATGGTGCGTGGGGGCGAGGGTACGCTGGGTGATGGTACGTGGGGTTAGGGTGTACGTGGGAGTCGGGGGATCCCCTCTCTCAAAGTGCAAATAGGCAATAAAGTCATCCAGTTGACACATTTTTATTGTTTTCAGTTGTTCGAACAGAAGGACCTATACAGCTTTGCGAATTCAAGTTTGTCAGATTGAACCTGGTTTGCTCGGTAACATTACCCTCTCATCGAGCGTCCCGTAAGCCTCTGTTCTGAACAATAGACCTGGGAGCTGTGGTCGTTTCTTGTAGCCTGACATTCTGAGGCTGTGCACGCTGTGGGGTGGCCAGGACATCGAGACACTTATTGCAGGAGCAGCTCCGCGAGTTTACCTCATTCTGGGGTAGCTGAGTGCGGGGTTAGTTATTTCTGTACTTATCTATCAATCTAGATTTGTACTGATCCTTGTGTTAGTGTACCTCTGTGCTCGTGTATCTATACTCGTGTTGGTGTGTTGGTGTATAGTTTAGCGCACTGTGCTACTCACACAGTAATCCAAGTTCGATTCCTGCTTACAGCCATGACCAGTGACGGTTATCTGAACCGGTTCTGGGCCTCCCCTAGATCGACTCGGTCTCAAATGAGTACCTGGTGCGGTGTGTAAACATCACCACGAGGGAGACAAAGGCGGCCAGGCGTGGTGTTGGCCACCCACCCCCTCATGTGCCGTGCCGGCCTTCATAGGTGCTCGCTAACAGCACTTGCCCTAACGGTGAGCTAAGGCTACACGGGGATCTTTGTCTTTGTGTGTGCTGGTGCAGCTGTGCTCAGGGTGGCTCCTCTCAGCTGCTGTCTCCGCTCTCCTTCTGCGGGGCACTTGCTGGGCCACGCACCCCCACGCTGCCGGACCTTTCCCTCGACAGCGCCTTTGGTACAGCAGCACACAGCAGCATAGCACACAGAAGAAGCACTCAGTGGCATAGCACACAGCACAAACCCCATTCGCCTCTTGCCTGTAGCTTTTTTGCAATCTTGGTGCTCGTAACATTTCGCATTGTCAGCTGCCTCCACGTGGAGTGCCGTCCGCGTGGCGTCGCGTTCTCTACAATGCAAGGAGACACGCGCAGTGCGAGCCGGTGAGCTGCTGCTGTGCAGCCTCCTCGCTGGAGGAGCACAGCTTCCGCGCTTGGTGTCTACACGCGGTTCTTGTGAAATGTTGAACTTCTTGGAAGCTGGAGAATCCTCCACGCTTTGCCCTCTAAAATGCAACTTGCGAAAATGAAGGCTTGAAAGCTGGGCGACAGTGACGCACGTGGCCTGTAATCCGGCACTGCGGAGGCAGCGAGGATTTGTGGACCGCACACATCTTGGGGATGGAGCGTTTCTTCCCTCACAATGTGTGAGGTGTCTCCAGGCACTCCGGTTTCCTCCCACATGTGCACACTCATTGATTGGCCGATAACACCTCAATATATAGAGGGCTGCAGCTCACCACACGGCTGCCCTCCTGCTTGTCTGGTTCCTCGCGCCTCTGATCGATCTCTCTCTCTCCGCAAGTGAGCGAAGCCCTTTGACAGTTGAAAGTATAATGATGTTAATGTTAGCACCGTGAGGTGCTCTTAGTTCAACCGATGTGTCGATCCTGCCTGCGAGAGTTAACATCTCTCCACTGTGGCGAGACGTTAACCACCTCGCCTGGTACACAGGAGGGTGTGGGTTCAATCCCGACCTGACGCCTTTATATTTGGAGTTTGCGTGTCTCTCTCCTCGTGGTCTCGTGGATTTTTCTCCAATTCCTCTCTTTTCCCCTCCACATTGAGAAACAGCGTTTCGAGTATTTGGCTGCTATAAATTACCACATGACAAGCCACTTCTTTGAGCTATCGTTTGTGATAGCAGGGACACTTGTGAAAAAAAATGCTCTACAGCTGGTTAAAAAAAGAAGTTAGTAGTTTAGTCAACCGTCTCGTGTTGCCAAGCGCCGTGTGTGAGGCTGCCGCGCTGCGGCTTCATGTGCCGCTGCTGCAGGCCAGTGCCTGGTGTTTGCGGACGAGCACTCCGCAAGGCCGCCGGGTCCGCAGCAGGAAGTTTCCCTGCGCTTCCTGCTCACGGGGCTGCTCTCCGGCCTGCCGCCCCCGCCGTTTGTGCTGCGCATGTGCCCCCCACTCACCACCAAGAACCTGGAGCAGTACCAGCCCCTGCTGGCCGTCGGTATGGTGCACACACGGACATGTGTGTGTGCGTGTGTGTGTGTGTGCGTGTGTGTGTGCGTGTGTGCGTGGTGTGTGCGTGTGTGCGTATGTGTGTGCGTGTGTGTGGTGTGTGTGTGTGCGCGTGTGTGCACGTGTGTGTGCGCGTGCTCGCACACGGTGCACACCGCCCAAAGACAAAGATCCTCCGTGTAGCCTTTAACAGAACTGTTTTGGGCAAGTGCTGTTAGCGAGCACCTATGAAGGCTGGCACAGCACACAAGGGGGTGGGTGCCAGCACCACACCCGGCCTCCTTTGTTTCCCCAGTGCTGATCTTTACACAGCGCACAAGGTACTCATTCACACTGAGGACCAGGACCGGTCCGGATATTTGTCACCGATGTTGGCCGTGGTTGGTGTTGTGGTGGTGGTGTTGTGGTGGATGTGTGCTGTAGTGGTGGTGTTGTGGTGTATGTGTGCTGTGGTGGTGGTGTTGTGGTGGATGTGTGCTGTGGTGGTGGTGTTGTGGGTGGATGTGTGCTGTAGTGGTGGGTGTTGTGGTGTATGTGTGTTGTAGTGGTGGTGTTGTGGGTGGATGTGTGCTGTAGTGGTGGTGTTGTGGTGTAGTTGCTGTAGGGTGGTTGTTGTGGTGGATGTGTGCTGTAGTGGGGATGTTGTGTGTATGGGTGTTGTGGGTGGTGGTGTGGGTGGAGGTGTGCTGTAGTGGTGGTGTTGTGGTGTATGTGTGCTGTAGTGGTGAGGTGTTGGGTGTAGGTGTCTGTGTGGTGGTGTTGTGGTGGATGTGTGCTGTGGTGGTGTGTTGTGGTGGATGTGGCTGTAGTGGTGGTGTTGTGGTGGATGTGTGCTGTGTGGTGGTGTTGTGGTGGATGTGTGGTGTAGTGGTGGTGTTGTGGTGGATGTGTGGTGTAGTGGGGGTGTTGTGGTGGATTGTGCTGTAGTGTGGTGTTGTGGTGGATGTGGTGCTGTGGTGGTGGGTTGTGGTGGAGTGTGCTGTGTGGGTGGTGTTGGGTGGATGGTGCTGTAGTGGTGGTGTTGTGGTGTATGTGTGCTGTGGTGGTGGTGTTGTGGTGGATGTGTGCTGTGGTGGTGGTGTTGTGGTGGATGTGTGCTGTAGTGGTGGTGTTGTGGTGGATGTGTGCTGTAGTGGTGGTGTTGTGGTGGCTGTGTGCTGTGGTGGTGGTGTTGTGGTGGATGTGTGCTGTAGTAGTGGTGTTGTGGTGGATGTGTGCTGTAGTGGTGAGGTGTTGTGGTGGCTATGCGCTGTAGTGGTGGTGTGGTGGTGGATGTGTGTGGGTGTGGTGTGGTGTTGTGGTGGATGTGTGGTGTAGTGGTGGTGTTGTGTGGATGTGTGGTAGTGGTGGTGTTGTGGTGGATGTGTGCTGTGGTGGTGGTGTTGTGGTGGATGTGTGCTGTGGTGGTGGTGTTGTGGTGGATGTGTGGTGTAGTGGTGGTGTTGTGGTGGATTTGTGGTGTAGTGGTGGTGTTGTGGTGGATGTGTGGTGTAGTGGGTGTTGTGGTGGATGTGGTGTAGTGGTGGTGTTGTGGTGGATGTGTGGTGTAGTGGTGGTGTTGTGGTGGATGTGTGCTGTAGTGGTGGTGTTGTGGTGGATGTGTGCTGTGGTGGTGGTGTTGTGGTGGATGTGTGCTGTGGTGGTGGTGTTGTGGTGGATGTGTGCTGTAGTGGTGGTGTTGTGGTGGCTGTGTGCTGTAGTGGTGGTGTTGTGGTGGATGTGTGGTGTAGTGGTGGTGTTGTGGTGGATGTGTGGTGTAGTGGTGGTGTTGTGGTGGATGTGTGCTGTAGTGGTGGTGTGTGTGGATGTGTGTGTGGTGGTGTTGTGGTGGATGTGTACTGTGGTGGTGGTGTTGTGGTGGATGTGTGCTGTGGTGGTGGTGTTGTGGTGGATGTGTGCTGTGGTGGTGGTGTTGTGGTGGATGTGTACTGTGGTGGTGGTGTTGTGGTGGATGTGTGCTGTATGGTGGTGTTGTGGTGCATGTGTGCTGTGGTGGTGGTGTTGTGGTGGATGTGTGCTGTGGTGGTGGTGTTGTGGTGGATGTGTGCTGTAGTGATGAGGTGTTGTGGTGGATGTGTGCTTGTGGTGGTGGTGTTGTGGTGGATGGTGTGCTAGCTAGTGGGGGTGTTGTGGTGGCTGTGTGGCTGTAATGGTGATGGTGTTGTGGTGGCTTGTACGATGCTGTAGGCAGCGAGTAGTGGACTCGGTGCTGGTCTACCAGTCACTCACCAGCGGGTCTGATCCTCTACAAGGAGTTCAGTGTGCACACCTGTGAGGGGTCCGGTACTGGAAGCACCGCAGACTAACACACGCGGACTGGACACGCAGACTACACGCGGAGATGCACGTGGTGTCCGCGCTGTGCGTCTACACGGGGAGTCCACGGAGACAAGACAATGGACTCAGAATGTTGAGGCAAGTGCTGTTAGGGAGCACCTATTCGGCCGGAGCAACACAAGTGAAGGTGGTGTGACTGTCGCCACGTTCGTCCACTTACGTCTCCCCAATGGTGATGTTTACACGCCACACGCAGTACTAGTTTGAGGCTGAGTTGACCTAGGCAAGGCCATGACTGACGTTGGCCAGGGGCGGGAATGAACTTGGTCGCCGAGTTCGTATTGCACTTCAGGCTACGCCCCGTCCCAAAACACAGTCACCCAACACACATTGTTCTCCGGATATTCATAACAACCACACACCATCAGCACAGTCAAACACAGTGTCCACTGTACCTACACAACACACGGCATCACATGGCACACACAACACCAAACACTCAACATACGAAGCACACACTAGGCCATCAAATTAAACTCGGTATGTACTCAACACACAGTTAGCAGAACCTGCAGCACAAAGTAAGCCCACACACAGAGTAAACTGTAACAACAAACACACGTACATTGTCCAGCACACTCGCAGATGCAGAACACCAAGCACAGAAGCCAGCACTCATAAATTGTGTATGTGTGCTTGTATGTCTTTGTACAGCCTCAAATTAGTACCTGGCGCGATGTGTAACATCGCCACTGGGGAGACAAGGCAGCCGGGCGTGGTGTTGGCCACCCACCCCCTCGTGTGCTGTGCTGACCTTCATAGGTGCTGCTAACAGCACTTGACCCACAGTCTGTTTAGGCTATATGGGGGATCTTTGTCTTTTTTTGCCTTTGTGTGTCTGTGCTTGTGCCTGGTTCTTGTGTGTGTTTGCCTGTGTGTGTCTTTGTGTGCCTGCGCCTGTGTGCCTCTGTGTGTGCCTCTGTGTGTGTGTGTCTCTGTGTGTGTGTCTGTGCCTTTGATTGCCTCTGTGTGTGTCTGTGCCTGGATTGCCCTGTGTATCTGTGTGTGTGTGTGGCTGTGCCTGTGATTGCCTCTGTGTGTGTCTTTGTGTGCCTGCGCCTGTGATTGCCTCTGTGTGTGTGTGTCTGTGCCTGTGATTGCCTCTGTGTGTGTCTGTGCCTGTGATAGCCTCTGTGTGTGTGGCTGTGCCTGTGATTGCCTCTGTGTGTGGCTGTGCCTGTGATTGCCTCTGTGTGCCTCTGTGTGCCTCTGGTGTCTCTGTGTGCGCAGGGGTATTGAGTGGGTGAGCCTGACATCATTCCTGTCCCACGCCAGCTCCACCCCTAATAACGTGGGCTTGGTTCGCAATGACTTCAACTGGTGGACATTCTACAGGTACACACAAACACACATGCACACATGGACTTGCATCGACACGATTGCAACACATTAAGCAACACACCGATACGCACATGCATACATGCCGGGCGAGGTACACTTTGAGGCCATGTGGATCCGGAAAATCTTAGCAAAATCACAGGACCGGCCCACCTCTATCTATCTCACATTGTCTAGCCAAGTCTTTCAAAGCCATGAAGAAGAAGTTTCAGGGGCTCTGAATCTTTATTTTTGGTCCTCAGGTTTCCAGAGCCCTTGCTCACAAACATGA